TTTGAACCAACAGACAGTCGGCTTCCAGAACCCACACTCTCGACCTCCACACCAAGTGGCAAGTGCACGATGCCGGCCATAGGCAGGTGGCAGAGGTGAGCAGGTCACAAAAGACACGAGGGCAGACAGATGGATGAACTGACCCGCAGGGGGAACGACTTCCTTCAAGACACAGCTGCAAGGCTGCCTCCAAAGAGTGACCAAATGACAAATCACAGGCCCTTGAGCCAGCGACCCCACTTCCAGGAGCGTATCCCACTGGCACCCCCATTTCCCAATAAGACACGTGGACATGTGCCTTCCAGCTCTCGGGTTTGGAAACACCTCCACATCCGTGTTAAGTAAACGAGGATTTGCCCATACTGTGGAATACCACACAGCCAAGAAAAAGATGGAGGAAACCCTCCATGTACTGAGAAGTAGGTCTCCCAGGGAGATGAAGGAGAAAAAGCAACACGCAGAACAATGGGAAGAAGAGCTGGGTACCCACCAGGGTACAATAAATATTTTTAAAGATACACACACGTATATAAGTGTGTGTGCACAGAACACTGGGACCGGGGAGTTGTCTCTGGGAAGGCGAGCTGGGGGACCAGGGACTCCGGGGAGGATGGAGGGGGAGGCTTACTAGGTTTAGTATTTTCAATTTGTCCCATGTATGTATCACTTAGGAAAAAAGAAAGACAGAGAGAGAAGCTGCTCCTTCCTTGGAGCCTTCGCAGACCACCCAGACCGAATTAACCGAACCCCCCCACCCCCGCAGCCAATCCAGCCCTGAAGACAACACTTATCTCTAGCCTCCTCTGGGACTGGGTCCCAGGGCCCTGGCACACAGTAGGCCCTCAGGAAGTCTATTTGGGAAAAATTAAAGGAACAAAGGCGTCCTCTCCTGCTTCTGCCAACAGATCCCGCCACCATGAATACACAAACTCGTACACAAAAGTCATTGTCACCAAACTAGAAATGTCTCAGAAAACTCTCTCTCTCTCCCTCCATTGGGGGAACTTGCATGTCACCAAGACACAAAGGCTTCAGTCAATGGGGACAAAAATCTAATGGTGGTATTCCAGGCAGGGAGAATGCTGGGGAAGGAATGAGGAGGGCGTCCTTGGGGACAATTCAACCCGACATTTCCCATGTGTCTCTGGTGTGACGCATCCTTCTCTGGGGAGCCAGCTCGGGCAGGCCCTGTGCCCTCAGAAAGGAGACAAACTCGGATATGAACGGGAATAAGGGGAAGGCGACTCATTCTGATGGGGGGCGGTTGACATGGCAGGTACGTGCTGTTAAGTGATGGTGCCCAGCAGGAGGAAGACCCAAAAGAGAGGAGGGCAATGTAACCAAGTCCCCCGTCCCCCTCTCCTGCGGGGCGGGAGAGGGAAAAAGGCAGCCCCTCGCTGCTTTCCAGGCCCAGGCCGGCTGGAAAGGAATGCCATGTCTTCCTGTTTCCAATTAACTTCCCCCCACCAGCAGCCCTCTGCATTCTTGAGACCAGGAGTCAAGACGGCCACGCCACGGGGGAGAGCTGGGAGGGCTGGCAGGAACTCCGCTGGTGGCTCGACCTGGAGCTAAGAGGCAGCCCCCAGGAACCTGGGGGACCCTCCATAACACCCCATGACCCTGCCCACCAGGCCCCAGGGCTTGGCACTGACCCCCTGGCCCTTCCACAGCCGCCTGGAGGCGTGTGGAGGGAAGACCCCACAACCTAAGGGAAGGTTGGAGAAGGCCCCGGAGGCCTCTGGGAAGGAAGTCAGCAGAGAAGGGGGCAGGGCACAGGTCTGCCCCTCTTGGGCCTTATTCATGCTTCCCCTGCAAAAAAAAAATCCAGTTCCTACTTTCAGGAAACACTCAGACCTGTGTCTCCCTACAGCCCCTCTCCTCCTGACCCCCAGGAATTATTATTACTTGCGCCTGTCATCTCAGGAAGGAAGATATTTGCACATCAAGGAGAGGACAGCAGGCAGGGAGCAGAGGCTCCTCAAAACGTTGTCTCCCCAGCCCTACTGACAAATATGGAGCCCCTCTCCCACCCGCCCCCAGCCCCTGCAGGCTGGGTTGGAGGCCCCTCTAAGCCATGGAACAGGCTTCCCTTGGACTCAGCTTTCCCATCTGTAAAACGGCATGATCAGCTGTATTACCTCCCTCACCAGGTGAGCCCGGCCCTCCGCAGCCCCCCTGCCTCAGCCCACCCCCTAAAGATTTATTCAGCACCAGTAAGTGGGGAAGGGGTAGGGTCCCAGGCCAGAGAGCTGGAAGGGCGAGTGTTGCTGAAGCAGGATCACTCACAGCCAGCCCTCGCCGATCGCCCACCACTGGGAATTCCTCCAGGGTGAATGCCTTTCACTACTCACCCTAAAATGCCCAGCCAGCACCCGACATTCCTCCCCACCCCTGCAGGCATGCCATATCCCATCCGCTGAACGAGAAATAAAAATAACACGTCTGGATAATACTTTCACCCACCTCCAGGTCATTAAGGGGACTATAATTATCCCCATCTACAGATGAGGAAACTGAGGACAAGGGAGTTCAATGACCTAAGGTTAAAGAGTGGGACAGTGGGTTTGATACCCAGGCAGAGGTGAGAATGGGCCGGAAGGTTCTCTGCCAGCTCCATCAGGGCGCCACAGGAGGTCAAAGGGCAGAGTGACGATGAAGGTCCCCATCAGCTGAGCTTCCCTCCTGGCACGACTGAGTAGCAGCAAGAGGGGCAAGTCCCATGTTAGGGGAAGAAGGAGGACGAAAATGGGGCCGGCTCCCAGGTGCCCCCCAAACTCCCACCCAGCCAGGCCTGGGGCCCCCCTTCCCCTGACTCACACACCTCCAACTCTCCCCTCGGGCAGGCAAACGCTCTGCTCCAGCCACAGGCGAAATCATCCTGCCCTCAGCCCAGCTTCCGCGTGCTCCCTATCCCTTCCCCAAACCAGCACTCGGGGGAGAAAAAAATCCAACAGCTCCTTCCAAGTATAATCTATATTTGAGACCCAGGTCAAGCAAAGTCAAAGGGACAAAGTGCCAAAGAGGCGTCCAGGAGAACCTAACAGTCTTGAGACGACCAAGTTGGAGAAACGTGAGATGGTTACAAATCGGGGCTGTGTGACCCTGAGCAAGCCACTTCACCTCTCTGAGCCTCCATTAGCCTGTCTGCAAAATGGGGATAATAACTGTCCCTACTTCCTCCCAGGCTTGTGGCCAGAGCCTAATGCACTTAGCAGGAGCCAATCCATAATGCTCCCTGAGTAGGGAGATGTTATTTCCGGCTTCTAGGAGTGGGGGAGCTATGGGGAGGATGGGGGAGCTATGGGAAGGGTGGGGGAGGTAAACAGGGCCTTAAGTCCCACGGGACACCAGCACAGGGGAAGGGGGTGGTTCCTGAGCTGCCCACCTCCCCTGCTCTCCCACCACCCCAGAGGTCAGAGTTGACCGAGGCCCCCACCCCCACCCCAGGTGAGCGGACAGGTTGGAAGCCCGGAGAACCTAACACGAATCTCAGGTCTTGGAGTCTTGGGGGTTGAAACAAACCGCTTTCCTGACGAGTGCCCCGGGAAGGAGGTGTGCGGGAAATGCGACCGCTCCAGACATCCCCAGATTGTTCCCCTCTTGGAGGGCCGTGTGACACGAGGGGCTGACCGTCCGGACATGAGGCCGGGCACCGGCTGCAGCCCCCAGGGTGGGCACACCGGAGGGCCGGGACCTGTCACCCCGGCCTCCCCGGGAGAGCTGACAGGGCGGCCTCTGACCCCACCTCCCGGGAAGTTCAGCTGCTCAGAACCACAAAGCAAAACAAAGGGGCGCGGAGAGGAAGGAGCCGCGGTGCCTTCCAATCACCGGCGGCGCCCGCGCCCTCCCGCGGCTCCTCGCCCCGCTCGCCGCCGGCCGCAGACCAGGGCCGCGCGCCCCCGGGCTCCTGTCGCCCCGCGGCCGCCCGTGACAGCAGCCGGGGAAGCAGCCGAGGGGCAGCCAGGGATGGGGACAGCAGATGGCTCCCTCCGTGCTCCCTCCTCCGCCATCCTCCCTCCGGTGCCCGCGGCCTGGCCGCCCTCCCCGGGGGCCCGGCTCGTCCGGGCTCACCCCGGGGAAGGGTTGCCTTTGTCTAAAGGTCACCACCCGAGCGCCGTGCCCGGGCTGGGCCTGCGGCCTCCCATGCCCAGGCCGAGGGGGCGGGGGGGGCCGCCCCAAATCTCGGGAGGTGACGGGGGTGAGGCTCCCCATCCTCCTCCCCCCGTGCCGGCCCCCTCCGGGACCAGCCCGCCGGCGGGGGAGGGGGTCGCCTCCTTTCATTGCTGGGGGGTGGGGGCCCAAGTCAACTCCCTTCATTGTTTAGGGGCTGTGAGGAGGGGGAGACCCAGTGGCCTCCTTCCGCATCCCGTCCTCCCCAGCTTGCCGGAGGCCCCGTTTCTCCCCGGCACCCCCGGGAGGGATCTGGGGAGGGGGCGCAGGGGACGCGCGACAGGGGGAGATGAAGGCTGGCCGCCTCCGGCCGGGAAAGCACCATCCGCTGCCCCACTGCCCTCTGCTTCCCCGAAAGGCGGGGAGCAGGGCGAGGGGAGGGGGCCCCGGGGCGGGGGAGGGGGTCTCCCCGCCCCTCCCCCCGCGCAACGTTAGGTCTCGTTTTTCCGCCGCTCCATTGTATCCCCGGCAGCCGGCGGGAGGGCCGGGGAGGCACCGGGCGCCGGGTTTGGGCAGGGGAGCCCGTGGGGGGGGGGTCCCCGCAGGATCGGGGCGGCCGTGATGGTGGGAGAGACGCACGGGGCGGGGGGGCTGCCGGGGGTGGGGGGCGCAGAGCAAAAAAAGAGGCAGCGGGCGCTGCGCCCCGGTTGGGGGGCTGAGTGTGTGAGTGTCGGGGGGGTGGGTTCGGCCCCGGCTCCGGCTCCCCCCACACACACCGTCGCCGCCAACCCCCACTCCCCCCTCGCTTTTGCGCCCTGTCACAGCCCCGACTCGCAGGTAGAGAGAGTTAAGAGATTTAAAGAGAAATTGCTACATTGTGAGAAACTCACCCTGATGTTTGAGCAGCCGTCGGCGCGGGGTCTCCGAGACAGCCCCGCACGGGCTGCAAAGGGAGGACCCAGAAGGGGCCGACCGGCCGGGCCGGTCAGCGCACTGCCTGATCGCATGGCGGCCGCCCGGCAGCCTCCGCCAGGCCCCTGCCGCCGCCCCGCGCCGCGGCCCGGGCGCCCCGGACCCGCGCCCGCTCCGGGGAGGACCCCTCGGGTTTGCAAAAAAAAAAAAATTTTTTTTTAATTAAATGCAAAAGAAAAAAAAAAAAAACCCTTGCAGGTTTTGTGTTCCGCCCCCCCTTCCTCCTCCTCCTCCTCCTCCTCCTCCTCCTCCTCCTCCTCCCTCCGCCCTCGCCGGGGGACGGGCTTGGGGGAGGCCCCGCCCCGCGACTCGGCAAACCAGCCCCGGCTCCCGGCGCCGAGCGGCGGGCCCGCGAGCGAATGGGAGGCTGCGATCGCCCCCGGTGGGTGCCCTCCGCGCCAGCGCCGCCCCCTCCCCAGCCCCAGTCCCCGGGGTTTGGGGGCGCGCCTTCCCAGGCTCCGGTGGAGTCTGCCGACGGCCTCGAGCGATGCTCCGCGTTGGAAGGGAAGGCTAAAGGGATTTGCGCTCCCAGACCCCGGGAGCCCGGCCCGGCTGGGGAGGGGGCGCCGTGCGCCCTGGGCGCGCCCCCGGCGCGGGCGACGATCGCCGGGCGGGAGGACGCGCTCAGGGCGAGCGCCGAAGGTTCGAAAGGTAGCGGGAGTCGAGGATGGAGAAGGAGGGGAGGCCCCGCAGGTGGAACCGCGAAGGAGCCGGGAGTCGGAGCAAAAGGGAGGAAGGTGGCGGACGCTGTGGGGCGACTGGCCGGGCCCCCGGGCGTGGCTGGATCACTCACCCCGGTCGGTCTTGGCCGAGCTGCGACGGCCCCGGGGAGGGCGCCGGGGACGCGGGTCCCTCCTGCCTCTGAGCCTCCTCGAGGCCTCTCGGACGGCGCTGATAGGACTCCCAGAAGCCCCAGGACCTCTCGGTGGTGTTGGGTCCGTTTCCGCCCCACCAGGCCGTGAGCGCCTTGCGGGCGGAACTCTTACTTAGATTCACGCTTTCGTTCAGGGGACGCTTGGTGAGCGCCTACTGTGTACCCTGCGCGGTGCTGGGGGCCTAGCAGGGACCCAGACGGCCCGGACCTGCCGTCCCTGGGCGCACAGGCTAGGGGGACTTATATTCTGATCTGTTACCTTCTGTCTCCCCAGTGCCCTAGAACACCTTCGTGCACACAGAAGCTGCTCAATAGATGTCTATTGAATAAATGAGTGATTGAGACATATCTGTATTTTAAACTTTAGCATTTATTCTAGTGTCTTGGTGGTACCACCCATAGTATTTAAGACACCACGCAGGTTAAGGGCCGTAACTCAAACCAGTGAGCCCCCCCCCGGCTCACATCCTCCTTTGCGACTTCCTTGCTGTGTGACCTTGGGCAAATTACTTCACCTCTCCATCCCTCCATTTCCTCATCTCTAAATAACAGGCCTCACTTCATAGGGTCAATAGGAGGAAATGAACTATCAGGGAGAGCGGCACCTGACAGGAAGTGCCGGGTAAGTGCTGACATTATTATTATTACATAAAAAGGAAATTTGATCGACTCCTGAAGTGAACACATTATGGGTTGCTGCAAACACAAGACAGCGGCAGATCTGTGACTTACACAGTGGTCATCTGAGGCCCACTGGAGGTATGTGACCCTTCCGGGAACAGTAATATACAGGCTTTATTTTTGCGTGGTTTGGCCTTCCATTTGCCACGATTGAGTCCACTGACCTACACGGTGAGTGTCCATTAACTGGGTGCAATGTTTTGCTGTTTTTTTTTTTTTTTTTTGAGGAAGATTAGCCCTGAGTGCAATGTTTTGAATCCTCAGTCCTGCCCACCAGGAAAAGAACTCTGGTAACGCCCATGTGGAAACCCTTAGTTACTCCCATCTTACAGTGTAGACAACTAAATTGGCTCCGAGAGGGGAAGTGTTTGGCCCAAGGTCATGCAACCAGGAAGTGGGGCCTGATCTGAGCTGGGTGGCACTTGTGTCTCTGTCATAGCTGCCAGCCTCGGGGGACTCAGAACTTGAGGACTGACTGGCTCAAAGATAGCAGACTTGAAGCCTTGGCGGGGCCGGGGGGGGGGTGGTGGTGGTGGCGGCTGTCCACGTTTATTCATTCATACAGGAAATATTGTTGGAGGAGCTAGTGTGTGCCAGGGATCTAGTAGTGACCAGAGCATCCTGGTTCCTTCCTCCCCCCTCCCTGCCCAGCTCACAGTCTGTTAGGGGACACAGACAATGAGCAAGCAAGCAAATAAGTCACTTAGCCTCAGTTTCTCTTCTGCCCTCCATGGCAGGTGCTAGCTTTCTTTGGTGCATTGTGGTATCCCTCACCCCTAGAATGGTGCCTGGCACTTGGTGCTCGAGAAAGGTCTGCTGAACAGAGGAAAACCATACCCACCCTCCCACAGTCACCCCCGACCTCTTGGGGAGATGGTCATGAGGCCATGCCACTTGGAACAGGCCTGGCTGGAGGTGAAGGAAGCCAGCAAAAGGCCAGCCCCAAACCTAGCCATTGCTGGCAGGGCCCTGGAGGACCAGATGTCCACGGCCAGTGTCGGGGGTCAGTAAGGACTCAAATGGAAAGGGACCTGCTCTCCTTTGGGGGTGATACAGCCCCTTCCCTTTGAGAATCTGATGCAAGTTGTGAAGTCTAGGTTAGGGACTGAGTTGGCAGCGAGACCCAGATAGATTCAGCGACTGGCCCCAGGGCTACTGAGCAAGGGTGGGGACTAACTCAGTACACCCAAGTATTCTGTCACCAACTTTGAGTCACCGGATGGACCTGGGGCAAGTCACTTCTCCAGTGCCTCCATTTTCTCATCTGTCCAATGGGAGTGTATAGTCAGACACAGAAATCTGGCCCCCGCCCCGCAACCATTTTATGACGAAAATTTTCAAACACGGAAAAGCAGAAGAAATATTACAGGGGACATCTGAATACCCACCCCCTAGATTCGCCCATCAGCAGGTCACTCTGCTTGCTTTATCCCACATCTGTGCATCTATCCATCCAACAAATCCATCTTATTTTTTTGATGCATTGCAGGTATCTGTTTATATTAACCAGGTAATCCTAACTAACTCTCCAGTCTGATAAACGTTCTGATAACTGTAATAACACCCCCCTGGGCCAGGCGCTGGCTCTCATTTAAACCTCAATTCTATCCTTTTTTTGTGAAGGAGAAACAGATTCGGAGAGGGTAAGAAACCAGATCAAAGCCACACAGCTGAGAATTCAAAACCAACTGTCTGTTCCCAGAGTCCAGACTTTATCAGGACTGTGGAGAGGATGAAATGGGACAATGGCCATGGAAGCTCTTTGGGGACACGGACAAAGCAGCATACAGATGTGAGAAATTAGGACCGGAGAAAATGCACCCACCTTCCTCACCCAGCAAATACGCTGCACCCGTGTTCAGCTTGGTTCCTGGCACAGGGTCCTTTGCCTGCCAATTATTTGGGACTTAATGCCATACGGGTCACAGTCTTTCCTCTCCTAACATAGGGCTGGGAAGGTGACAGACACCTCACAAATGCTTCCTGAATGTATAAAGGGGTCCAAAAACGTTTGCTGTGTGAGACAAATGGCTTCTCTTACAGGCCCCCGCAGCCACTCAACACTGAGCGGAGCCCTAGACATTGGACCTGGAGTTATGAAAACCCGGTGACCTCAACATGAGCTGGGATTTCTGGGCCCCTCATCTCAACCTTTAATGGATGGTTTTAATTATAACCAAGCAACTGAAAAAGCAATGGCAGGAAACCCCCTATTTGCTATGGAACAGTCCAGTACATTGGAGAACTAACCCGCCCTTTCCCAGGGGCCTGATGCCCTTTCCACATCCAGCGCATTGGAGTCCATCGGGGGTCCAAGGCCCCCTTCCCCTCCCAACCTTCCGGCCAGGAGAGCTCCCTGCCCACGGAGTACCACAGCATTTTCTACCCCACCCACTCACATTTCTAATCGTTCCCCAGCTCTCCCAACCAGACCCTAATCCCCTCTACCTCTAACTGAGCCCTGCACCCCCTGCTCGCCCAGTAACCCAGCCCCTGCCCTAAGGGACCCTGATCAATGTCTGGCCTGATTGCCATCTCTCTACAGAGCGGGGTGCTTTTTCTTTATCTGTCCTTCTGTTTTTTTTTTTTTTTTTTTTTTTATAAGTGGTTTGTGCCTCTGAAAGTCACAACAACCCCCCATCGCGGCTCCTCCCTCGCACCGGCAGCTGCAAAGCTGAAAACTTCGCCAACCCAAGTTCTGTGTCTTGATCTGGGAGGATGCTGGCGCCACGGGTTTTCCGTCGAGCAGCACACTTAATGATCCGTGCACTTTTCTCTCTGTATGTAACACTTCAATAACAAGAGGAAGCAAAACAAGCAAGAGCCGTGCCCAATCCTAAAACACCCCTGAGGCCCCTCCAGGTTTCATGGGCATGGGGAGAGAGTTTCCATCAGAGGCCTTCCCAGGATCCGGGTTTTAGCCGCCAGGCGGGGGAAGGAAAGGGGAATCAGACGGCACTGATTCCGGGGCGACCTCTGCCCTCTGACCGCGCCCTTTAAATATGGCTCGTATGGCGGGAGTGCGCTGCCCGGGCTCCCGGCCCCGCCGGCCCGCCCGGAGCGCCGAGACCGCGAGCGGCGACGAAATCAGGCAGCTGCCAGCCCAGCCCGGCCTCGGGTCCTCAGCGCGGCAAGTGCGGGGGGCGGGGCCTGGCCGCCCATTGGTCCAAGCCTGGGGGCGGGGCCACGGCTCGGTCCCGCCCCCAGCCCCTGCCGGGTTAGTGGGCCTCGCGCCGGCCCGGGGAATTATTCATCGGGGGCGGGGCCCGGGTTTGTTTACACGCTGCCATTGGCTGGATTTGAATCGCGGGCCAGCCGCGGGGCGGGGCTCCTGGGGGCCCCAGCCCGCGCCTGACAGCTTGGGGGAGGCAGGGCCGGCGCAGGATGCCCAGCCAGAGCTCTGCGACCCTGAAGATGGGGGTACCCTTGGCGGATGCGGGCAGAGGGGGCGGGCAGGCTGAGGCTTCCGCCCGTTTCTTGATAAATACTAACCAAGGGGTGGGGAGCATTGTTTTTGTTCTCGTAAAAATGCCTAAGGAAAAACAA